TGTTTTTTTTTTTTTTTTTTTTGCAAAATTGTTGCGTAACGGCGTAGCGCAGAATGGGTTTGACCCCCAGATAGCTATAGATCAAGTCATGAGTTCGAATCACGCCGGAGCTTACAAAAAAAGCTACATAAAATTCACCTTTCCAAACAAAGAAGAAGGTACGGTTTGGGCTTTATTGTGCCCTAAAAAATTCATGTTTTCAAAAAGTTATGGTATTGGCTTAAATATGAGTTGAGTATATGAATGTGATAAATCATGAAAGAATACGGCATGAAGAAGGACCATTCTGGAAATATGACGTCATTAATTTGGTACATTTCTAAGTTTTTAGCAGAAAAAACCTCAAAATGACTCATTTCTGGGGTTATTTTCCTTAAGAAAATAGTGTCCACAGCCGTCGCCCACCGCAATTTTTGGATATGTTGTGTAAAATCCTTTGAAAAATCATACATATGAAAATCTTTGTGGGCGATGCATGTGGTCTATATTATCTGAGAAAAAATTTCACTGAAAATTGATGTCTTCTGCAACTTTTTTAAGAAAATACGGGAAAATGCACAAGTTTATGACGTCACAATTAGCCTTTAGGAAGTTGTATGAGAAAAACGATTTTTAAAAATCTTCTTACTGCATGGAATTTCAACGACTCAGAAAGCTTGACTTTTAATTTCTTACATCTCTTTCATATTTTTGAAAAATACTGGGCAAGATTTGTATTGAAAACGTACCTTGTTCTTTAATAAAAGAAATTATGGATATTTATTGAAAATATGACAACAACAAAGAGTTCAGCACTGCTGATACATATCAAGCAAAGTAATGAAAATGAAGAAATGTGCTAAGCTGGTATTTTTACACAAATCAGTTATTAAACTAAAGGTGTAAAAAATTTTGTAACAATTTTAACACTGCAGGTCTCAACTTGTTCACGATATGATCTCAACAATAAAAGAGTTAAGCACTGCTAATACATATACTTTATATATACATAGGTAATAGACATGTATATAATCTGTTAAAGCAGACATGAAAATGGAAAAATGTGCTACCTGTTTTTTTTCACAATTTAGCAGATGTGAAACAGAACAGATTATCTTGCAAATACCCCCCTACCCCCCCCCCCCCCCCCCAAAAAAAAAAAAAAAAAAAAAAAAAAAAAAAAAAAAAAAACATACTGGTTGTTCAAGAGATCATAATAGAAATTAAGAATATCAAATGTACTTTATATATGATATAAGAAAATGCTCTCATGATTGTCTGTTTTGATAAAAATTAATATCCTTGAATTAGTACAGTATAAAATATATGGGAAACATAAATTATCATTATTATTAGATAAACCAAGCTTAGTAGGAAAGTAGGAACTTGAAAGTACTTCTTGCTGCAATAATGAAGCCTTTTCCTGGGGGTGGGGATGGGCACAACTCTTTTTGGATCATACAATATCATTGAAATCATACAATGTAATCAGAAACATTTTAAAATAAATGTTTCTGATGTAATTATTCAGAGCATAATTTTTTCCAAAATATTTAGTAAAGTCTGAGTTTACTGACCTTGACCGATTCTATTTTGGGACAGCCAGTGAGAATTTGGGAGCGGGATCTTGAACTGAATATGGGAATTTTTCTTTCTTCATACGTAAATAATGCAGCAAAAATAAAAAAAAAAAACCTCATAAACATTTATATATCTGTTTAGTGATAACAAAAGGTAATCTACTGCAGTATTCAACGATCAAAAGTCATTACATCACTTGAGAACTGACATGGCTGCTGAAGAAGACAACTTGTTTTCACGCTGGTGTATTTTTTTCTTGTGGCGATTTAATAAAACGTTAGTTTGTTTGCTACGATTAAATTTACTTTATTTCATCAATGAATAAATATTTTTTACGATCTAAATTTTGTCCCACCTCATAGTTTTGAGATTTACTATGCATGGATTATATTTTACAAACGATTGAAATTTTAGCAGCATTGATAGAATGAACTGTACGGACCGCAAGGGCTGACTTCAGACTACCTATTAAGCGTAGTTACCATAACAACCTTTACATATTTAGAAGAACAGGCTGTCCCTTCTATATAACGTACTGAAGATCAGTAACAATAATTTATATATTTCACCCACTTTTTTGAAAGTTAAAGAAATTTTTGGAGGTGAATTTAAATATAAACAATAAAATGCTTTCTTTGATGGTTCACATGGGAAATGCACGGCGCAAACATTGCAGGGGGTGTGCACCGTATTGTTGACAGACCAGGGTCAGAGGTCATTACATGTATTTACATAACAAAGCTATAAACCTACAATAATGCTATTGATTTCACTACACTCCTAAGAAATATAATGTGAATTTTTTGCATTGAATCAAATATTTCTTTGCCATTAGTTTATGTTTCATATTTACCGCGTTATAAATTTCAGCAGTGAAGGTACATGTAATAGTAAACATGGCAAACAAATTCAAGTTGCAATCATTTAGACACATTTCAAATTGAAAATATCGGTTATATTGACGTTATTTAATTACTTCGATTTATTTCAAAGTTAAGAAATGAAAATAATGTTATTGTAATTTTTGGCGGAAAAAGAATGCCTACTTCACGAAGATGTGATTCTAGCTGGAGTTGTAACCCCCCCCCCCTTCCCCTCAAAAAAGCATAAAAGAAAGGAGGGATAAATAAAATCGGGTAGTTACATTAATATTGCTCCTACAATCATGAGCTTTTTCCCTTCGTTGAGATGGCCAGAGACATAAATAACATATAATAAATGTGTCTCCGAGATGGCGAATGATTACCCACGTGGCCACAATATCACATTTGTATTGATAAACTCAGAAAGATAATACAAATATGACTGTGTTAATTTTCATTGGAAATTTGCTATATATTCTGTTCATATATATTTATGATTTCTAATTTCTTATTAGAGAAATATAAAATAACAAATATAACTTAGTACTTCTTTTGTCTTCTCTGATTTGAACACCGTGATTAAGCATGAGTGTAATGCACATGCGCAAGATAGTAAAATCCGAAAAATCCAGAAGATTTCCGGAATTTTTTGAGGAATTTTCATTGATTATTAATTAGCGAAGGTTAATTGAGAAAAAATAAAAACAAATTGGTAATCTTTAAGTACCAATTATGTTTAAAATATATAAAACAAAAGACAGTACTCTTCCGATTTATCGGTATTAAAGGCCAAAATTCGAGTCTATTATTTTAATATAGTAGTATAGATACAGTTTATATCTTTATATAAGGAAAGACTGTTGGATATCTACCTTCAAGATTGTAATGCCTTTTTTGAAAATTCATCAAAGTGTTTCTTGTATAAGCACATTGTGTGTGACAATTTTTCGAAAATCCATGCATATTTGACAAAACCTATTCATTCTAAGTTAAAGAAGTATATTACTAGAATAAGGCTTTCTTCCCATAGCTTAAGTATAGAAACAGGAAGATATCAGAAAATAGAAAGAAGTAATAGAATATGTCAATTTTGTAATGATCATTGTATCGAAGATGAATATCATTTTTTGCTTGAATGTCCTGTTTATGATTCTTTAAGAAGAAAATATATCAAACCATATTATTTCAGATCTCCAAATATGTACAAGCTTACTCAGTTAATCAGCTCTCATGATGTTGGTGTTTTAGTTGGATTAGGGAAATTTATTTTTCATGCAATGATATTAAGAAATGATGAATAATTTAATTTATATGTATATTATGTATAGATATTTTTCATGTATAATGGAGAGTTTAATGCATACTGTAATTGTTGGTGTTGAGGAGTCGGACAGATGGACACTAGGGGTTCCACCCCCCGTAGACTCTCGCTATGCGTGCATAATTATGTTAATTTTTTGTATAGTAATGGGCCGTATGGCTTAAAGTTGTTTAATAAAGAATTATAAACTAAATTGCCGAAATTAGGGCCAGTATAAAAGTGTCGGCAAAGTGGAGAAATTCAAAAGGTCACGAATATAGTGGAAACATTTTAAATGTATAGGAAATGAAATAGCAATCTCTTAACATATTCTAATTAAAATAAAAACAAATCGCCTTGACTCAATCAACCTAAAAAAAAGGCAAAAATTATTGTTTAGAAAAATCTTCTGGATGGCTGTCTGAACAACTTTCGCGGCTCACTGAATAATTTTTGAGATATAGATCACGGGATAGTACAGGTTATTTTCAGAATAGATAAACACGTACAAAAATCTAACCTTATATATTAAAGTACGGGCGCAAATAGTTACAGATTGAAGGAAAATAAATTTTATACTTCAATCCATTCATAATACCTTTATTTTGAAGTATAATTTTTGAAGAATTAATTATTTTTACGAAATGATGTACATGCTTCAGCTTACAAGCTTGTACATGGAAGCTACGCCACTATTTATACAGTAATGGCTGTTGAGATGCGCAATAGTAAATATCAACATTTATTATTAATTTTATTCAATAGTTTACGACTTGGTGTTTTTTTTTTTTTTTTTTCAAATGTTGCTACAGTATTTTTATAATTTACCGTAATCTTAATTAAATAATTCAAATTTGATATTTTTGCTCTTTACATGCTTAATTGATTTAATTATACTTAATAATGTCACTGTAATTTTGGGGATCATACAATCTGCGTTATGTTTTGAAAACAATTAAAGGACAGAGACGTTAATTTCTGTCGGTCTGCCGGGTCTTTGATAGTACAGGTATTTATAGTGTGACCACATGCATACGTCTGTTGTCTCCCGTGTGCAATTTATGTACCAATGTACATATAATTTATTTTAAAAATCCATTGGTTCATTATTCAACTTTCTGCAATATAAATAAGGCGAACGGACCCTGTGCGAACAAGTTTTAGGGCGATCGAACTCTGGGCGAACGGGAATTAGGGCGAACGGCGTCAAGGGCAAACAAGTTTTAGGGCGAACGAACATACAACCATGTTTTACAATATGCCCAGCGTGATAAGTGCTTTGTTGTTTACAATCCGGGTTGAAAGCGGTTCTGCGTCATAATCCGGATTAAATTCAGTGTGCGTGACGATCGATATCAAACACGTACCTTGTTTTCCTCAAAGCTGTGAAAAATGGCGGACAGAGGAGCAGTTTGGACGGACGATGAAACCCGACTTCTGATAAAATTTTGGGGACAAAAAGAGGTACAAGAGAGTCTTGGAGGGATGTATCGTAATTCTGAGGTTTATGACCAAATCGCCGACAAAATGACTGAGAACGGATACGACAGAAACGCCAAACAATGTAGATGTAAAGTGAAACAACTCAAGAAAGACTACAGACGCGAAAAAGAATTAGGCAGTCCCTCCAAACGTCGAGCGTTCAGATTTTTCGAGGAGATGGAGGGCATAATAGGAAACGTGGTAACGCCTGGATTTCAATGTAACGCTTCCTCGGAGAGCGTGTCCGACTGTGAAATATCAAGTCATTCTGAAGGCAAGTTTCTCTCGTGATTCTTTAATTGATTGGCTTTTTATTCTGTTTTAGTGTAGTGTTTGTAATGTTGAATGTGTGATTGTCTGTAGATATATTGCATCTGGACCAGGATGTCTACTTTTAATGCTGTACGGTATTTATAATGTTGTAGGTGAAACGCACATGTACAGTACACACATGTATCGTCTAAAGCTGAGTTTGTGACAATGTAGAATTCATAATTCTGTTTGAACTTTCTTTGTATTTTTTTTATCCTGAAAGTGGAAAAAAAAAAAATTGCTCTAAGAGTTATTAGTACATGCTAAATAACCAAAGGTCATTTCATAAATATATCATCCTTAAAAATCATTTGACTGTGGCAAGTTTTATTTTCATAAATTGAAAAATCTTCAAATTTAAATTGAGATCGATGTCACATTGTTTTCAAGACCAAATATTTGTAAATGTTTAGTAGAAAATTTGATTAGAGTGTAACTATTTCATGAAGAAGAATGTCAGTATAGTGTTTCTATGTTTACAAGTCATGTCTTACCACAACGGTGAACCAAGATATTATTTTCTTTATTTCAGAAGCTGTTAAGGCGAATACAAGCCATGTAGAGGATAGTGCAGCAGTTCCTTGTGATAAAGATAAAACAGAAAACCAAACTGAAAGAGTGAATACGGAAAAAGAAGAGAAGGTCAGGAAACGAAGAAGCATAACAAGTTTGGCTGGTAAGCAAAAGTGCTGCTCCTAAGGGTAGAGGAGATAGAAGAATGGGGATATAAAGAGCGGGATGGGGGGGGGGGGGCTACGTTACAAGTGTTAGGGAACTGTGAATAAAAAGGGTACTGGATAGCAAGAATAGAACTGGGATATTTACGCGTTATTGATAACAATGGATAGAGAGATGGGGATATGTAGCTATAGGGGAGGTTAGGTACGAGTAAGGGGGGGGGGGGGATTGCGAAAATGCTCCAAGGACATTGGCGTCTAGAGAGTATTTACTGTGATGAAAGTAAAATAAAATCAATACATTATATCAAGGGTATTGAACGTATGACCCAAATTAAAATATACATATTTCATAATACACTGTAATGTACTTTGACAGATGACAACATGCATTGTACATGTGCTCGTACGCATGTATTTTATTCCGCGTACTCAGAGTAGATGTGCTGGTGTAAATTTTAAAATTATCACCAGCAACATGAACAATGTTTGTTTAAATTTTGTCATATTCTTATTCGGTGTCTTTATTGCTGCAAAATTGATGAAATAAAGCCGTGAATCAACAAATTATTGAACAAAAATTAGATGAGAGAGAGAGAGAGAGAGAGATTTTGCTAATGGTTATACATGTATGGGCAAATTTCATCAAAATTCACTTGACTTGAATTCTCTCTATATATTAATGCTCTGTTCTCTCTCCCTCTCTCTAAATATCAATGAGGATCTTTCTTGATTTATCATAATATAATATTAATACTTGCAGATAGACTACGGGCAGCAAAAAGATGGCGAAGTTCACTTAATACAACCAAAGAAAATGACCGAGACACGAAATCACTGCTAGAACGTACACTAGCCTCACAGACTCCTGAATTCCAAGCCTCCGTGTTACTGGAAATAGAAAGGATGAAGATAGAAAAAGAAATTGAGTTAGAAAGAATGAGGCTGGAGTACAAACAGAAACAGTGGAAAGATATTTTAGAACTTCTAGTTAAGAAGAATATTCCATGGAACACGAGCCCTTCACAGTCAAGTAGTGGAAACACATTGTCAAAGGAGGACATCCACAGTAGCAAAAATATCAACATTTCTCAGAGCAGTGAAAATAATCCATCCTAATCAAATTATTTCTTCGATAATCGAAATAAATAGTTGCAATATAAATCATCGTTTACTTGATCAATTCATTTCAGGGGTTGGATGAAAATGCTTGTATAAAGAGGTCTACATAATCTTTAGCCAAAATGTTATACTTACATTATTAGATTGTTTTCCCTCTAGCTTTTACAACAGGTACTGCAAAAATATTTTTCGAGAATCCTTGCTGATGTTATTTTTTTAACACCAGGCCTATATATATTCCATTACAATAAAACTATAATTTACATTAAGTATGCCAGCATTTTTGTTTACATGCTCTGTCCCGAGACAATCAGCCTCATACATAGCGAAAGAAATAGACAGTTTTTATTTTTACCTTGCATTCTAAAGTCTAATCAAGGAGTTAAACTCTTTCGAATCCTACTGCGGGACGAGGAGGCCGATGTTCCCCTGTCGCAATAAATGCTACCTAGCACGAAAAATTTCCATCTCTGCTAAATGGTCATAAGTCTAAGTATGCAGCCTTACATCAGCAATTCGTGGCGCCCTTATATAAATGACAAAAATCTTGAAGGGACGTAAAGTTAACATGCACGTACCTGTTTACCTATATATTGATTGTATATTTTAACATAATTTAATTTCGTTTGTATTCTAGCCTCTGATTGGTTAATATCCAAAAAAGGAACACAAATTATTTCTGTATAACCTGGTTTGGTATGGGACCCCCCCCCCCCCCCCCCCGACAACCAGCTGAATCATCTGTATCCATACAATCCTCTCATTTCCAGTCCTCGGGATTCATGGAAAATTCCAGATTTAATAAATGTACCTTTAACTTCAAACAATAATTCCATCTTACCACATGTAAACAAACAACAAGGCTGCTAGGCCTATGTATCAGTTTTTACCTCCCCTCGCTTCCCATCACTCCCCTTACTTCCGTTACTACGGTTGTATTATTGAGCGGCAAACGAATATATAAATAATTCGCGGATTATAAAGCGTAAACTGACCCAAACCAGATTATACTCGAATAATTTGGCCAAGAATTAGAGTCATTCCTAAAATAATTTCTTTTTTTACCTCTCAAATTAAATCTTATATAGACATATATAGACTTGCATTCTTCACAGAATCTATTTCTCAACAATTCTTTTGGATCGCTTTTCTCTTCTCTGGCCACTATCTCAATTACTTCCTCGTTGAAATTTAAGCTAAGCCTCCTGACACTATGACTACCGAAAAAGGTAAAAGGTCACTGTCTTGTTCTAAATTTTGAGTTTACTCCTATTCAGTAAATTCAACGTTTATAACGTAACAACAAAAAGTGTTTATTGGTTACGAAGGTGTCATACGCTACAGATATGGTTATCACTGACAAAAATACGGCAAAATGTAACGAGAAACTGCTATTGCAAACAAAAGGATGTCCTCCCGAACTGGTCATCCTCCGTTCCATGGTTACAATTTATTCCCCGACTTGGTTTGGGGTGACATAAGTATTCCTTTCATTAATCTTCTCCACAATCCTTTTTTTTCTAAGCTAGCCGTTTTTGAGTCGTTTTTTTCAGTTTTATTTGCAATTCTATATCTTAATCAATGTTTGCAACCTAAGTACTATAAATTTAATATAATATATCATTCTATAGAAATTCAACGCTTATAATTACTCCGTGAAATATATAGTACTTCAGACTGAGAAGACAATTACCCGTATTTTTTTTATATTTTATTTCAACATTATTATTATTACTCTAATGGCTGTCAACCAGGTCTCTGTCACATTTTCTATGAGGCATGACGAAAATTACTCCTGATTCTTATGCCCTGTTTTCACGAATGCGAATTAAATATTTAATTCGCAGTGAATTAATGCAAATTAAACTAATGCGAATTAAATTGCGTTCACACGACAGTTAATGCGAAGTAAACTAATGCGCATTAAAATTTTATTTCTACAGTAAGGTTATTCTGTAAAGCTATTATGACGGAGTGGTTAGTTAGTCAGTATATGGTTGTTTCTCATAAAGCTTGTTAATCTGAATTTTAAAAGAACGCCGATGACCGAAAAGAAATAAAACAGTATTCTCGTGCTAGTATACTCTCTCGAAGATCATAACTGGAGGGAATATGATATCTTAAAACCAAAATCATCAATTGACATAATTTACTTTTATTTATTTGTGAAAATTGTTAATATAAGCATTTTTCAGAGCAAAATTATCAATCACTACCTACGAAGACGTGCATTCACACAATGTCTTTTTTACTGTAGAAGAGAATAATTTTGAAAAATAAAATCTCGTGGTATCCTAAATTTTGTAGCTGACTGTTCGAGAATTGGTAGCCAGCCAGTAGGGAAGAAGACATTCCTTCTACAAAGTATCACAACTAAAAGCAGGGTTTTCGCTGTTGCACCTATATCGTCACAAACGTCAATATTTTATAGATTTATTTACAAACCATGGACCCTACATTTAAGAATATTTGCTAAAATTTCTTAATCATCACCTGACACACTCTTTGGTGCCATAGCTCCTAAATTGCATGACTTTATTTGAAACACAATAGCATAATATTTTTATAACAACAAAATAAATGGGAATGCATTTTAATGAATTTTAATATATTGGTTTTAAATCTTAATTTCTTTAATTTGGTGCAATGATATAAGAAAGACAATACAGGTAAAACAAGGGGAAAAGTAGAATATGCTAGACGTACAAGAATGATAAAATTTTATTAATATTCCTTTATTATTTGAAATACAGTACAAATGATATTTATTGTTACATACAACTAATGACGATTCAATTATAAGTTATTCTGTGTCTGGCATACACATGGCTGAGTAGCTTTCACCAAGACCCCACTAAAATAAAAATATTTTTTAAAGGAATTTACCATGTAAAAATATGTTATTAATTTTAGTCCAAGTTGTAGACAATAAGTTGTAAGAATATATGAATACGTACACACATTCAGCACAGCAGGCATTGGCATAGGTTACGTTGTTTGCTCCGCACACAAAGTTATACTCGTATTGGCAGTAGGAACATATTGGCTGGATTTCCGGACATGGACAACAAGTCTCGCATGCAATTTCCACTTTCCTTCATTTGGTTATTTTGAAATAAATACTTGTACAAGCCTTACTTCACCCTAATTATATTTTTCTCGTACAGCATTTCAATTTCAGTTATATTCAGGCACGTAGCAAGGGGGGTGGGGGTGGGGGGCTGGTCCCCCCCCCACTTTTTCCCCAGACTTATTTTACTATTTGAAATGTTAATTGAAAGGCCGGTTGGCCCCCACTTTTTGTTACAGAATAGTAAAATAAGGGTTTTGTAGTAGTGTTTGAGAAAAAATTTGGTACCTACCCCCTCCCGAAATAGGAATTTCGAGTTCGGACAATTTTCCTTTTTTTTTTTTGCTTGTCAAGTTTTTTTTTTTTTAGGTAAGTTGAAATTTTTTTCTCTGGCTGCCCCCCCCCCCTTTTTCAAAAACGATGCTACGTCCCTGATATTGATTTGTAAATATTGGAGTTTAATACCCTTTTCAAAATTATGTCGATATACTTACGCACAAGTTGCATGACAACTGTTCAGATACGTCTTTGCGTCACTTCCGCAGACTGGGTTTACCACGTCATCACACTTGCACGGATTTAACTTACAAGGGCATGGATTATTGCAAGCAATTGTCACATCTCTGAAACAATATCCATGTGACTTTCACTCAATGATGGAAATCCAAAGATATTATCCAAAGAAAATTAATGATAAACAATTTTATCTTTAACATAAACCGAAAGTAAAAATGAACAATTATCTACAAATGATAACTTAGTGAATAAAATCTACAAATGACAAAATATGCAAGCGACTTACGAGCATTTAGCCTTGCAAGCATTATCATAAGTGACGTCATCCTCACCACATACCGGGTCACGTGTATCGTTACATACACAGTTGCTGGAGCAGGGACAAGGATGGTCACAAATAATACCAATGTCTCTAAGAAGCAAGAGATATTGCATGTAATTTTTTTTATGGTTAATATCGTAAGAAAGTAGAACAGATCATCAAGCTTTTCATGTATTGGTTCACATACTTGATATTTAATCTAACTTATTATTAGCTTGAGATAAATTATGATTGATGCATTCAACTATTGGGTCATATAGAATTCACCAAAATGGTTATTTTTTAAATGAAAGTCCGTATCTGATAGTATTCAAGAATTCTTAAGATGGAATTAAATACTTTTCAAGGGCCTGGTCAGGAGAAGTGTATGTCAAACCGTCAGCTCCACAGACTTCAGGGCCAGCAATAGGTGTACACGGACAGGTTCCATTACAAGCAAATTCATCATCATCACTTCAGTGAAAAACATCATAAAAATTCTACATGTTTGATTGGTTCATTTAACAGTTTAAATTCCTGTTTATTTAAGATGTCTGACATTGATTTTTGAACCATTAACTGTTATACGTTAAAATCAGTAAAAAGATCATTATGTAATTATTTTCTTATTCTTAGGAAAGTCAATATTCTTTTCTCAACTTACTATCCAAAAGGTATATTGTACAATGAAATCTATACAATGTACAGAGTGAAACCCTGAATAAGGTCTCTGTTTTCTATCATAGTATAATATAAGTACATTTGTGACCTTCAGCTTTTATACAGTCACAAGACGTTTTTTCTATATATAACTTTAATAATAATAAAGATCCGACGATTGGTTTTGCATGATATTCACATCTCTATGTCAATCTATTCCCATTATTAAGACTGTTGACCGACAATATAAAATGTGTTCTTTTCTACCTTTATTATTGTTTCTTTGTTCTGTAATAAACATTGTAATTAATGATCATTTGTTTTTGTTATTTGTCGACGAACATTTTCTGTGGAATTTATGTAGAATTTAACTCACAGTGTTTTGCAGTAGACTCAGAATATAAACAAATCAATTTTTTAAATAATATTAGTAGTTATCTATAAGAGACACATAAACACACAAAAATGCAAGCCAGTTATTCGAATTATCAATAATTTTCTCTTTAGATTGACAAAATTTGTACATCGTGCCCTTTCAAGTCTTAATCAGAGGTAAGTAAAAGTGAAACAACAACATTTATTATAATGTATATTATAATTTATTATATAAAATTGTTCACTATTTTTAAAATTGAATGGCATAAAATAGATATACGTTTCATCAAATTAATTTTTATACAGGACTATGTTACTTACACACATCCAAGTTTACAGATATTGTCGTAGGTAAGTCCTTTCCTTGAGCAAACTGGGGAATATTCACACTTGTCACAGTAATGACAACGACAAGCTGATGTGCCATTGCACAGGGACTCCCATTTCCTGCAAAAAAGCTTATATAAATAATGACCACCACCACCATCACCAACAATACAACAACAAATAGCAATTGAAAATACCACGCGGAGAAAGAGTCGTTCCAAAATGTTTGAATAAGATGTATTTCTGTATGAACGTTTATTCCCTCTACTCAATAACGACAATACAAAGGTACGACAGTGACAATTAACAATGATTTATTAACAATGTAGTTCAAAAATAGATAAAAAAGAAAAAATCTATATATCTTAATGAAAAACAGGTATTTCCTAGTGACATACGTGCTCCTAATTGATTAAACAATAAATGTACTGAATGTTTTTAGTGATTTATTAACACAAGATAGCCTTAGTTTAGATTTCGTTTATTTCGCCTATACATAGGTATTAATAAAAACACCTCTGTTTGAATATACCAGTGAATATCTCCTGATTGTTACGGAAATACTTACAAATAAAAAATTTTTGGAAATCAAATATCAAATACAAACCTGTTGTTTGTATTTTTATGAAGTAGAATTTATCCCCCCTCCCCCCCCCCCCCCAAAAAAAAAAGGGAAAAAAAACTTCTACATGAAAAGAAATCTCTTGCTGTTGCCTTCAATTCGACATTTTGATATATCGACGACTTTTTATCAATTACCAATATTCATTTTCATTCTTACGTTGATTAGATATATCCCACTGAACTCGAAAGACACCGCAGAGTCTGACACATCTATTTCATATTTGGATCGATGACATTCTAACAACTAGTCTTTATGATAAAGATGATAACTTCAGCTTTTCTCTCGTCAGCTTCCGTTATTTATGTAGCAATATTCCATTACCGACTGCATATGGGATTTACGTCGCCCAGTTGATTCTATATGCAAGAGCTTGTTCTACGTACGAAAAATTATAAAACGAAACTGGCTACTAATAAATAAGTTGATACAAAGATATCAAACATCTTGTTTAAAGTTAAAATTTCGCAAATTTTATGGTCGATACTATGACCTTGATTGCAAAGATGACTTATCGTTAGGTTGAATGTTGATTGACGTCTTTCATACAAATTTTCAAACTGTATTGTCTACGAATTTTTCAGTTTACCCGATTATGACAAAGAGCACACGGCGGGTGTTATTGGTTGACAGGGAGGCTCACTCCTCCAAGGCATCTGATTCTATTTCTATTTTCAGAGGTCCATGTTTGCTCTGTTCACAATTCATATTGTTTAATTAAAGAGACAAAGTGCTATACATATTTCACTTACGAAAGAATTTCTTCGCATTGCCTCCGCTTTATGGTTTTGAAACAGCAGGCGTCTGGTTTTCTGGTAAATTTACACAGACACGGTAAGTCATAACAAAGGGGAACTCTTTCACTCAGCATCCACTCAGAGGAACATTTTCCTCTGTACTGTACGTCAATACCTCTGCAAAAATACAAAGTCATGGAATTTCTAGTTTGTTTTATAATTAATGTGTCATCAAAGCAGCATGTTGTAAATTTTTCAGTATGCTCAGATTCTACAACATTATAGAAGGATTGATTGATTATTGTTGTTTTACGCCGAGTCGGCAATATTTCAGCCATATTTCGGCGGTACATTATAGAAGGAAATATTAAATAATGTATTTAATACTTCCTATTAAAACTTTATAGAAGAAAGAATTAAATACATTATTTACATAAAGATATTTAATATTTTTTTTCTAAAAATATTCAGTATTTCGAGCATACAATGATATTAAGAGCGATAAAAGGGAATACTGGTTGGTTGGCAATCACATTCCACGAAAATGCATAGACACCGTAGACACTCATTTAATGAACAGATTTATTACCCAGAACGTCATGCAAGTACAATAATTTTCACCATCGTCGGAACCCATAGTTTTTTTTTCTATCTATTTCACTACATTCAGCCCAACTACTACATTCAACAGTGTAAGAGAGAAAAAATCTGTGGGTTCCGACGATGTAATTTTCCCCATCGTATAGTAAACTTATATTAAAGATTTTGCACAATATATTCTGCAGATTCTATTCACCAATACTCACAGTCTGGCGGCATGACACGCATTCTTGTATGTTTTCCCATTGATACCACAGACACGCCCACTTCGCCAAAGACAGTTAAATCGACCTCGATATTTTTTGTCTCTTTTGAAAAGGGAATCTATTGGAAAATCATTTTTATGATAACAAACTTCCACAAATAATAGCATTATAGGTTTAATGTTAAATGAATGTTGTGCAATTTAATGTTAAATGAATGTTGTGCAATAAAGCTTTAGACTTTTGTAGGCATGGTGCAGTATACAATTGTTAACAGTACCACAGTATCGAGATCGACGCCAGAGACATGTCAAATTTCTTCTAAATTTCCTGTAGAATTTCCGGTTTTTCATACCTATAGAGACCAAAAAAATCATTAATCTTTATTTAAAGAAAAACTAGAGAGTTTTAAGCTTTTGATACAGTATTGTAAAACGTAGGCTAATTTTGTTTTCCTGTTACGTTTACGGTTTAGCTAATTTTAAGTTTTAGCCAAACCATTTGATTCAGTACCACAGGTTCGAGCGCTTCTTCGAATACATGATACGTTCTTCCAAAACTTCCTGTAAAATTTCCTGTTTTTCTTCCAAAACTTCCTGTAAAATTTCCTGTTTTTCCTATCTAGAGAAGGATAAAAGTATCTATCAGAAACCTATGAAACAAGTCAAATGCAAAATACAAGTAATTCACGAATAAAAATAAATCAAGTTTGATCGTTTTATAAGCAAGCACACATCAGAGAATCTATTGGTTATTACATGCATATTGATTTAATGTTGGATAAAATACATGTATGCTATTTGACAAACTTCCTTTATGTTGTAGCATCCTCCATTTTCGGTTCCACATCTGATCCAGCTGCCGTAGGGACTGAGATATTTTATCCATCATGTTTTGTCCATCATTGAAAACTAGTTCCAAGTGTGCTAGTCAAGAGAAAAGTTAAGGTTAAAAAAGTAAAAAAAAAATGATTTGTAAGAATTCAGATGAAAATTTCACTTCAGACGATTATCATGTGGTCACTTAAATATATATGTTAAAGTGTAATATTTTACATTTGCTGTGTTTTTCCCATCAGGCAACTATGAAATTGATTTGAATGCCATTTTTACATGGAGCAACTCGCCCTAAAATGATGTCACAATGAGGCTACAGAGACGTTAATAAAAATATAACGAAAACTGCAGCGAGAAGTTCAAACATTGAGTACATTTTTGGTGCTTTTAAAAATGTGAAATGCAGATATAAGAAATGTTTTTAAGTTTTGTGTTAGTTATTGGTGTGTAAATCACACAGACTTGTTATGTAGGCATATTTCTTGAAGCGTATAAGCGCTTCATCAAAAATATGCCTACGCACAAAACTAAAAAAAAATTCTTTAATATCTGCTTGAAAAGGAAATGTTTGAAAAGAGTATGGAAAGAGTAACATTAACTTGTTAGGTAATATATTGTAAGTAAATGATAAAAGAAAATGTGAAACGTAGGATGTGATGAGTAATAAGAGTGATAAGGGGAGAGAATCCAATGACATCTAAACCACACAAGACATAATGCAATGTGAAGCTAAACTACAGATTATATTGTATATATAATCATATGAAGATTATTTATGCACGTATTTGAAGTTTTACAGTAAGATACATTTTGCTAAAGTACGTAGTTTAATTGGAAACAAAACTTGAAAGCAGTTTGCATGCGGTTATAATTAATTATAGATCGACGTTACCCTATATGGAAACGTTGTGAAACTTCTCGTACAAATAAAATCATCGAATTCAATGCCCTGTTCATACGGAGAGTTTAATTCAACTTAAACGTAAGTTACTGCAAATTAAATATGAATCGCATTCACACGGATAATGTAATGCAAATGAGTTTAATTCGAATTAATTTACTGCGCATTAAATTAATTTCCATTTGCTCAGTGAGATCGCTGAGCGAAGCTCACTCGAATTAAATATTGACACATGCGTAATGACAAAATTAAGTCACTTGCCACATGTCGGTGATCAGCTATAGGTACTCATACTATTTCTGGGTGAAAAGCAAAGCGAAAATATGTTAATCTCCAAAAATGTTTACGGTCACTTTGAGATTATAGCATATGAGTCTGCTCTGGATAAGGTGACTTGATTTAAAAATGACGTCATAATAACCTTACTGAATAGCCTACTGTAGAATAAAGTCTTAGTTTGCATTAGTGTACTTTGCATTAATTGTCGTGTGAACGCAATTTAATACGCTTTAGTTTAATTTGCATTATTTTACTTCGTATTAATCTACTGCGAATTAAAAAATAATGTGCATTTGTATGAATAAGGCACAAGAAAATAGGCTCTATCACTATTTCTTATCACAATTTACTAATTGAAAGTAGCCAATTTGAATAGTTGAATAATTTTGCACAACAGACAAATGCTTCAAGCTTGATGCAAATAAAATCAAGCAAAATGTTGTCTTCCATATTAAATTGCAATAACTTCTTGTAATCAGAGAAACAACAATGGAATTGCCTAATATAACAGATATTAATGATGTATTGGATAATTCCCTTAAAATAACTTTTACCATAGCCTACTTGCTTGTAGTTATTATACATGTATATCAAGACCCAGCAAGAAGATAATAAGAGTAATTTTAAAAAAGTAAATTTATTTTATATTTACTTATCATTTAAGCTATCCATAATAAAAGAGAAGATTGTCCAAGGTATTTTACAAATTTATTTGAAAAAAAAAATTTGATGTCTTAAAAAATCTAGGAGGTAAAATGTTTATGATAATTATGTACTTACCTAAAGGCTTGCAGTCCCGCTCAATATTTCTTTCCAAACATTTTAGAAATCTATGTTTTTGATTCCATCTTTTGTAATCTGAAATTTAATGCTTTGACATTCTATCCTCCCACAAAAGCATGCATATTTTTTGAAGCTCTTGATTCATAAAAATATTTTTGAGATGTACAATGTGTTTTTTAACACATCACATTTAAAACATCAGTTGGCTGACTACTAAAACTCGAGCAGTATCAATTTTGAACATTTCTTCACATTTTACGATATACCTAGATATTTGCATATTTTTCATAGATAGGAGAGAGGCTTTTCAGAAAGAATTCAAAGTTTCCTATTGAATTGCTCAGTCATGCCAACAATCTCAAAGAAATGAACATGAAAGAAATAATACTTACTTGCTGCGCTAAGCAATTTAAACATGTCTAGTAAAATAAAAGATACTAGGGCAAAAAACACTTGTCTTAAAAAAGATGCATCCATATTAGACTGGAAATATCAAATGAAAATATATCAATTCAAGAAGTAGAAAGTCTAAATAAATTGAAAACGTGTCACGATTTCAAACAAAAAGAACTGGTAACACATTTCCCTGGTTGTTAACCACTAAAATATGCAAAGGTTAGAAATAAAGAAATCAACTACGTGTAAAAATTCACAACAGAAGATTCTGATTCAAGACTTTGAGGAAAGAAAGTTCATTGAGGAATCCTTCCTAGCAATACGGACATTTTAAATACCCAAGTTAGGGTCTGCCTCATTAAGTCATAATAGAAGCCGGAACAGTCTTTCATTTGTCAATTTTCTTTTGAAACAGTTGGTGTCACCATCTGCATATGCAGTGCGTGAACGACAGATAACATTTGCTTAAATTTCTGAATACTTACTCTTTCAACCAATCTGTGAAATTTATTATTCAATATCTTTTTGTAGGTTAAAGGGAAATGCTAAATCCTATATAGTATTCTTTTTTCATTGCTTTGTGAATGCAATCCGTTTTTTTAATTTTTTTTCTATCCTCTGCATAAAGTTACCCTGTTATATCGTTATATTTCATACTATATGCAATATATATATATATATATATATATATATATATATATATATATATATATATATATATATATATATATATATATATATATATATATTGATTCGTCTTAATTCCTTGGAGAAGTACACTTTCTCGAAGCAATAAGATCTAATTAAACACTTATAAGAACATCTCAAAAGTATAAGGATTTAATATAAAGAAACAACGAAGAGTTTAAATACATTTGTCCGATTAAATGCATTATTTGTTTGTAGGAAAGTACGATGTGAATAAAAACAGACAGAAGAGAAGAATTAAATTTTATTCAAGACGTTATCTTTAAGGCACAGTCAAAATGGACATTCGTATATGTGTAGAAAAAATACATCTACAATTCTTACCTCGATCAAACAATCATATACTTTAACGCAATCAGAAAGAACAACAGTGAAAATTAGTTTAAAAAGCTAAATTTAATTGTTTTAAACACATTATAATTTTCAGTGAAGTACTATGATGCTGGACTTTGCCGTGACTTTCTATAAATACTAGTAATAAATCAATAAATTTTTCAAATAATGTCATTGTTTATGGACCTTGGTCCTTACACATTTTATCGTGCAAAAATACCAAAAATGTATTTTGCTCTGTAACTAACGTCATGTGTCGAGACAGGTTTTTGCCGGAGCTAAATACCGGCTGAGACCGATTTTGACCAAAATTTGCCACCGCTTGTCATCAACTGTTGCAAGGACATGCCGAAGAACATTTCTTGTCAGAGCCACTGAAATAAAGTGTGAGAATTGTAAAAATACTGCTAAATGTAGCACTGAAAGATAAAGGCATGTAGATCGATACGTGCTACCGTGCATTACTTTACTGACAACATTTTATTTAAAAACAGGCATAATAAAAATATATATGCTGTGTATTATTAGTAGTAATCTGAATATATCATTAAGATCTATAGAATTACAGTGTTTTGGTCATTAAACTGTAAATGTGCTACATACTTTCTGCATATGAAATATTTAATATAATCAAATTGCCAATTGCACAAAAAGCTAACAAGTTAAATCCGATACCGTCCATTAATAATGAGTTAATCTTATGATTAATCGGTCTTCCATAAAAGGATTTAAAGGACTTGTCGCATGTTTCTCGGTTACTTGAAATGAAAGGCGTACTTTGTTCCTCATGATGACAGTATATAAATTTTGCGTTTTTACAGTGGATATATCGCGGTAATTAAATATTATTGATTCAAATGAAAATCCCTCTAAAAATCCAAGTGAATTAGACAGCGATCACGTGACCATGACGTGATCGGTTGCAAATAACTGATTATTAAAAGAATTCAAGTTAAAAAAAACTTTGAAATTAAAACAAAAATGACAATACCCTGTAGTATGTGTATAAAGTTATAAATTGGTGTCTTACTTGCACTTGGCGTAACATTCATTCCTATATGTAGTTCCATCAGATCCACATACGGGTTCATCGTCTAGATTCAAACATTTTCCACAATCTGTCTGTGAGTATGCTAGAACAAAAGCTGGTACGAACATGTCATGGCTTGTTCCCTGGTTACATGGACAAACTCCATCACAGGCCTTCACTACCCCTCTATTGAAAGAAAAGATAAAAACTTTGTATGTGATTATTTCTCCATCATCAAAATACATCGAAGAGGGGTTGTCTGAAGCGATCTGAGCGAGATTTTGGATTACAGCATTTATTTATTTATTATTTATTTTTGCTACAAAGACTTTGATAATATACATCAATTATACGAATTGTAGGAAATATATCTACTCTTTTTGTGTAATGTGTATGAAGAAAAGCAAATAAATGAACATACTCGCATCCAAGTAGACATGGATTATCGTAGACCTGTCCATCTACTCCACAAACCGGGCTGTAGAAATTTCCCGGACAGGAACAAAATGGTGCCTCGGTGGCGGAAGGATATTGTTCTGTTGGTGTGATTATTCCTGGTACGATCTGAATGTGATTCTGACAAGGACATTCGCCATCACATTCCTTATAAGCTCCTCTAAAACATTTTTGAAAAAAAAAAATTATAACAGGTATTGTAAAATAAATATAAATAAATATAATCTTCCCTAACTAAGGAATTGTGTCCAGTTTAATACAGAAATAATTCTTTTTTTCAATTCACACGTTTAAAAATCAGCCTCTTTCGATGACAGTGAATAGGGTGAAAATAAAATGTGAGCGGGAATTTCCCTGTATACAGTAACTGCTGAATTATAAAAATAACACTCTATGGCCTACAATCTTATTTATTCCAATGTGTCTTACCTACAATCTCTCTCGCAATCACTGTAGTACGTCATTCCATCTGCCCCACATACAGGTTTGTACTCAAGGATACACATTGGACAAATATCCCCCACGGTGGTGGGAGCGGCGTTAACTAACGGGAAGTCTGTGGGTGACAAAGAGGGGGCTCCAAATGCAGCGCCTAATTAAAAAAAAGGAAACTGTACATTGAATTTAAATTTCTTCGTAAAAACAAGAATATAATTTACCGTTCTGGACAGGTTAGACATATATGCTGCTGTATTGGGAATACCAGCACATGTGACCACAATATTTTGCTTTTCATAAACTGTCTGAATTTTTATTCATTTTTTATGATTTTAGATTGTAATTTTTGGTTTAAATTGTTAAACACTCTCTTTTGAAATATATTAAAGAAACATAAGATAAATGTACACCTACCGTTGACAGAAGAAACACAAGGGCAGTCCCCATCACAGTCCTTGTAAACTGGTCTGTAAAGTTTAAATGAAATAATACTTATTGCTTACCACAATTAAAATATTGTCAGGGAAGACAAAGCCATCAGACATCAATAATCATTTACTTAAAACAGATAAACAATAAAAAAAGTTTTATCAGGTCTTTACATCAGATTATATCTCATGTAAGATTAAAGTTTCATTCACTGTTCAGATTACATACAGAGGAAATGAATTTAACAATTTTTATTGAATGAGTAATTATTTATCAATTGTTTAAATAAATGATTATTTTACTCAACTATACGATGCCCATAAAATGTATTTGTAACACAAAATACTTCTTTTTTTTACATACACGAAGGATGCCAAATAAGACAAAATCTTCAAATAGACATGGGAAACAAACTGGGGTCAACATTGCGCCGACTGATTTATGGCGACGGATATAACACGAAAATAGTCACATAAGCAGTGAGCCGGTGTGTTAAGATATTTATCAAAACAGACATGTCACCTACTATCTAACATTACATATATATGTATTAGTAATTTACATAAGTCATTGTGTATGCATTAATGTTATTGGTGTTTTACGTCTTAGTCGACAGTCAATGCTGAGTAACGTCTTTTGGATGTCCCTTATGTTTATCTGATCAGCAATCTATTTTTGACAGTCATTTCAGAATCACTTATGCACAGTTTTCATATTAATCATCGATATTTTTTCGATTTAACCTGGCAATTGGTGTAAATACTAATAGAGAATTCAAAATCTGTATTTATTATTATATGATGATATTACTTAGGACAATCTAATGTCATTTTAAAAACTGTTTGTGATAGGAAGAAATTCTGTAGTCTTAATACCTAATGTTTTGAATATCTCTTGGAAAGACATTTTTTTTCATTCAGCTGAAAATCTTAAAAAAATTTAATAAATTTATTAGCTTATGTAATTACAAACATTTTGTTTTATTTTCATATTTTGAAATTAATAAAAATTATTGTTTTACTGAAAAATAATGTCTTTTTTTGTGATATTAGTCAGGAAAACGCTGACAAATTTAAGCAAAGAAAGTGACAATGATAATGAAATACATACATACATACATACATACATATATATATATATATATATATATATATATATATATATATATATATATATATATATATATATATATATATATATATATATATATATATATATATATGCGTATTTTTCTAATCCCGCGCGCGCTTATGATGGATACTTTTACGATGCTCGGTCACGACATTAGTTCTTATTTTAATTGTCGGACGCGTCGTCTGTATCAATGATAGGACTTGAGTAAGGTAACTTATATACACATTGACAAAGGGATGTTTCTTGACTACCTATAACTCCAACTTTTTTGCAGTATATTGTAGTAATATCAAGGCTAAAACATTATACTACATGTATCTGTTATTTATAATAGGGTTCAGTTTCAAGTCCTTTAGTGACTTCAGTCATGCAACACCCATATTTTGCTAAATGATATTCCATTGAAAGCAATATGACCAAGTACACCAGTAAGAGGTTTAACTGTTTTTTTTTTTTTTTTAAATTGAATTATAATGGTTAGGCTCATATTAAG